GTCTCGGATGTGAGGCCAGTTTCGCTGCGGAAACAGGTGGAATCCTTTATGGATACCAAGCTGAACATTGTCAGCAGGGTCCGCGATGCCATGGCAGCGGCCCAAGATAAACAAAAGGAGTACTCGGACAAACAAGGAAGAGGAAACTTAAGTATATTTGAGATTGGTGACTTAGTGTTACTAGACACGAGGAACCTACCTCTAGACACTGTTAGCTCTGTCGGCAGCAACAAGCTGAAGCACCGCTTCATCGGACCTTTTGCAGTCCTGGCCAGACATGGTGCGTCGTACACCATCGACCTTCCAAAGTCAATGACGACGCACCCGACGTTCTATGTCGGACGTCTTAAGCGGTACTTTGACCCGCAGGGGGTTGCTGACTCGCAGACCCCCCTTGACCCAGCTCCTCGAAGCGAGGGCCGGTCACAGCCGTCGACGAGGGTGTCGGAGCAGGCACCCAAGCCTCGGTCGGGACGGCAAGGCTGCGGTCAAGACCGTACGCCGGAGGGGCTCCATACGAACGGACCCCGGCGCCATACGCCGAGTACGCTGAGTACGCTGAGTACGCCGGGTACGCACCATACGCGTACGTCTGGGAGTGTGCCGCAGGCGGCTCCGGACGTGGCAACAAAACCTCGATCCGTCGGATCATGCGAAAGGCCTCGTCCAGATCGGACGAAGAGGCCCGGCGGTCCACCCGCAGGTGCAGGCTCGCGACCTCTCGCTCCACCAGGTCCAGGCGACCCGCAAGACGAGCGAGCTCGCCCTGATTCCCGGCCTGGGCGGCAGCATTACCGCCAGTCCCAAGGCCAAGTGCAATCTCAAGCACGAGGAGACGTTGACGGAGGCGGTCAACCTCAGGGTCCCGTGTCGGACCCGCAGTCGGAGCACTCGAACGAGAGTGGCTCTCGGGAGGCGCCGAGTACTCGTACTCGTACGAGGGCACCTCCGCCCCTGCTTGACCGGAATGGAGAAGTCCACTTCCACGTGGAGCGGATCCTCCAGGAGCAACGGTGTCGCGGGAAGCGACAGCTCCTCGTGAAGTGGAGGGGTTATGCCCACTCCGAGAACTCGTGGGAGCCGATTGAACGGCTCCTGATTGACTGCCCGAAGGCTGTCGCAATCTGGGAACAGAAGCGGCGGCAGCTTCATAAGTAGTCCGGGGCTTCTTGCCCGAACGGGGTACGGATGATGAATACATACCGTACCCGCGCTCATCGTGAGCGCTAGAAGCCGCGCGCTTCAGGATGTCCCTTGGCAGCATACGCTTGCTGATCAAGTGGGCAAACCTCACACGAAGATCACGCTGGTCCAGGATGTGGGACAGCTGCTGATCTTCATGGAGTTCCCATAACTCCGTGGGCGAGTACTTGAAAGTCTCCACCCACGCCTAAAACATGTCCTCACAAGAACTCCATGTGGGACAGTTCTCGGGCATAACCCAGGGGTATCCCCAAACAGGATAGAGACCACCCCGGGTCTCGGGCTTCTTACGACAAGTCGTGAAGTCCTTAAGGGGAATGCGGTGTGGCGCGAGAAGCACACACCGAGCAGCCTCCACGTTGTCGACGAACAACTGTTCTTTCTGAACAAGGGCTCGTTCATAGATGCCCCTAGAAGTGTGACCGCCCACAAGGCCACGAGGAGCGACGAGAAGCTCTAAGAAGAGGTCAGCCCCAGAGCTCTCCTCGGGAGGCCAATACCCTCTTGAGTTGATGGCAGCTCCCTGGCTAACGGGTGCCGCCACCGAACCCCCACGCACACGCTGGGCAGCTTGGAAATCCTCCTGCTGCTGGTCGAGGTCATTCGAGACCTCCCGGGGCTCAACAATGGCACCCTCCTCTTCCTCTTCTTCCTCCTTCTCCTCCTCTTCATCCGAGGAGCCGAAGAGACTCTGATAGGAGCGTCGAGTCTCCTTCTCCTCGCGGAGTGGAGACTTAGAGGCGGTACGCTTCTTTGAGGGCTTGGCGCCTTCGGCTTTAGAGGCCTTAGCGCGCGCAAGACCCTCGGCAAGCGGCAAGCGACGTTTGCGAGGACTCCCTTCCTCATCGCCACCGGCTTTGGGAATGCCCTTAGCCTTAACGGCCGGACTCTCAGAGCGCACAGAGGTCCTGGGACTGTGATCACCGTGATCACTAGCGGACGACTGCACGCTGTCTTCTTTGTGCTCACTGGGCACTGGGCTGTGCCCTCCCACAGAGCCCGCAGGAGCATCATGAGTGCTCTCGGACTCGGCATCGTCCTCACTGCCCGAGTTGAACTCACGTTCTACGAACCGAGGGTTCGGACGATTGTCTGAAGACGAGGGCGACGGACTGCGGCGCCTGCTTGCGCGCTTGTCCGCAGCCGCGTCACCCGAGGATCCGATCGCCTCGGAGGCCACCTGAGTAGCCTCCTTAAGTGCAGAGCCTTTGCCGTGAGGCTTAGTGCTCTTGGCCTGCGCCTTACCGGCTGCAGCCTTGGAGCGTGTCTTAGCACCGCTCTTAGCAGTGCCACGAGGCATGTTAACGGTCGAAGTGGAGACCTTGACGAAGAGCGCACAGGTTGCTGCTCGAGGCTCTAACTGTAAAGTGAGCCTCCGCCGCGCTCGCGCGGCCGAGTCGATGGTTTTCGACTTTGAGAATGAGAGTTTGTGACGAACATCTCTTCATTCTGATTGGTCGGTAAACCGAACCTAAGTGGGGGAGGATGTAACGGGGTACGTAGCACTAAGTGTACCCTGGTTACATGAAGTGTGACACTTCACACTTCAGGAGTATGACATGTCATACTCCGGGATATTTGGTACAAGGTACCAAGGTCATTCAAAACCAACCATTGGTTAAATGACATTGCATTTCTATAGGTAACTGATAGTTTGTATTAACCACAAACTTAACCTACCTATAAATATACTCAGTTTACAATCTACCTTATTTAGGTCACTTCGCTCTCTTTAATTAAAGAGGGGACCAGTGAACTGCCGTTCACTGAGAGTTTGTATACTCTCGGAAGATAACTTCCTCTAGCGCAAGGTGCTGTGTGACCCCGTCACACCACTACTTCCTCTGTCCGAAAATATAAGCGGGGCATCTGTTTATACCGTGTCCGAAAATAAAAGCGGCATGCTTACAAATTCAAGTCATTTGATAGTACTGTCGTATTCCACCTAAGTACTCCCATACAAATGCTGTTGTTGTTGCCGGCCGCTGCAAACCAGACCGTAGAAATATTTAGGCACTCTACACGGCACCGCTCAACAGAGAATCTCGCGCGCTACATCTCTACAGGTTTTTATGACATTTCGTGTAAAATTGACATCCTGGCGAAAGATTTTCAAATTTCACATCTTCACCACGAACTTTGCATAACGATAACTTTGCGACCAGGTGGCCGATTTGCTTCAATCTAAACAGCAATTAAGACCAATCAGCTGCTCGTTTAAAGGTTCTCTGTTCTTAAAATTAATTTTGCCCGCCCATCCTGCTTATTTTTTCGGACGGAGGAAGTACTTGTTTAGCAGCATCAAGCTTTGTATTGAGACGCTTCTCAATCCAATCAGACTGAAAGTCAGCTGCAGCTTCAAATTCATCCTGTACTTTTTTAAGTGCCGACATCAATTTCACCTCATACGTCGTCGTGTGTGTTGTGTTGTGCAAATTAATCGCTTTTTCATTGTTGTGAACGCACCGTTGACTTTAACCTCCAGCTCATTAGCTAAAAATTTAACCGCAGCAGCACCAGAAGCTTGAGAATGGCATTGGACCTCTTGGTTGAGGCCACTAAAGCGCCTGTCGATTTTCGAAGCGAGCAACTCGGTTTAGTGTTTCACAGTTTCCTCATAATGCGAGTGAGCATCATCGAGATAGTCACGGATGTGGCAACCAAGACGATTCTCTGTGTCAGCAGCAGTGTTGGTGTATTTGACGATCTCTTGAATGTCTCCTCGTGTCTTACTTGTGAGTCCTGAAAAACCCTTCCGAACTCTGCTATAAAGTTTGGTCTGCTGAGTACGACGTCCTCTTGAAGCACAATCTGTTGCGATTTTTTGTAAAAGTGGCTTGATTGGAAGCGGCGGTCTTGGATAAGGTCATGCTGACCGCGAATAAAAACGTTTGTCCTCTTCGACACACTCTCTCCTTCTCCTTCGCCATGTACGACGACAGCCGTCGACGGCTGAACCAGCTCCATTAACAGCACGTGCCGCTCTGAGGGTGTACAAGCCGATCTCAATAGATCCCTGCAAAAGCCGCACGCTATGCGACTCTCCCTTTTTGGTTCAAAGTAAGTGGTGGTTTGAAGAAAGCGCATTCTTGGTTTATTTTTTTTAAAAAGAAACGTGTTCAAACCACAAAACGACTTTGAATTAGGTTTGCTCGTAATTTTGGTTTGTTTCGATGAACGCAGGTTTGGTTTGGTTTTGATTTGTTCAGGGCGTGAGATACCTTATATTTATTTATTAACCACTGCTCTATAAATGTACTTCCTAAAAGACTCCAAACCCCGTAGTTATTACTTGAAGAGTTTAGTCGTTGTTGGACAAGCAAAACAACGTTCCTTGCGATAGTGGTTGGTCCGGTTGTTTTTGTGTGGAGACAATAAGTAAATTGTGTTTTGATTGAGATTTCAGAGTAATCAATTATTGCAGCTGACAATGTAGTCAATCTCACAATCACAATCCCATTTTCCACAGTTCCATTCATTGTATGGTTTGTACAGTGTATGATACGAACCCTGCAAACGTACGTTTCGTCCGCCGTGGTGGTCACTGCAAGCCACCAAGACGGACAGTTAATTGTGAAATTCCGACGTGCTGCGTTTGTCAACTACACTCCCACTTATCTGATGCAGCGTGGCTGGAATCGCATCAAGACGCCTCGAAATGGGGCGATATCATGCTTCGAGTCGATTCTTCCTGGCTATCACACCATCAGGAAGGTCCTTAATTGGTGACTACTTTAAAGTGTCAAACTCTGATTCAAAAGAGGTATTAATTCAGAGAACGCCTTCTTGTGGCTGAGATGGCGGACAAGAGACGCAAGGCCACGAGCACCAAGCGCAAGGTACTGCTGAGTGAATGCATCCTATGCTGCAAAGCTGACATTCGCCTTGGACTGGGCAGGAAGAGATTAGCGAGCTGAAGGCGGAGATCTGCAAGCTGCGCTCCGAGTTGGAGCTCACGTCGGATCTGAAGGGGCTGCAGCAGGCCGAACACGCTCCTCCATTGGAGCTGGTAGTAGCCGAGAACAATAGCATGTCCTCGGTCATCCTGCAGCAGCAGCTTGACGTCGCTCGTATGCATTCTACGCTGCCTCCTCCGTTGGTATGTAGAAGACTTTCGAGATTCAGCTTGGAAGGCTAATGGCTTTCTGTAGGAACTTCATCCTCTGTGTACACGCATCTGTCTTAAGAAAAGTTGGGACGAGCGAAGTGCGACGCTTTTAAGTCTTCGGGAGCAGAAATTCCGAGCTGCGTATGAGTACATTACGACGCGAAGTGAGCTTTCGTCTTCGTGCTCTAGTGACGAGCGGTTCGAGACTGCGAACGGCGACGTATGTTGCTCCATCTTCCAAACGGTGCACTTCTCTGGCGTCAAGTCACTTCAGCAAGTGTATGACGCAGTTCTCTTCAGTATGAACAATATGGAGATAAGTATTTGCGAGAGACTCGGACATATCACAACTCGGGACGACTATGACTGTGCAGACAGTAGTATCTACAATGCGAGGATGGTGTCGACCAATGAAACGGGCGTTTCGACTGAAGTGAGTGGTATCATGTTCTCCAGGTTCTTCGATTCAAGCGATCGAAGAAGCTTCAGCGATGCTCCGTGTGGGATGCTCGTGATTGACTCGGTGGACGAGGACGAGCTCTATCCTTACGTTCCAAGCGAGCGAGTTCGCAAAGATGTGTCTGCAGCTTTGTACTGACAGCAGGTAGCCAGCGCTTGGACGACGACACGCTGGTGGTGACGCTGCGCCGCGCTGCTTTTGTGAAGCTCCACTACCCGAAGTTCGACATGTCAGAAATAACTTGGCAAGAATTGCAACAGGACGTTGCACGGTGGGGAGATGTCATGACTAGAGCGATCCGGAGCGTCCTTTACTCTGTTCCGTAGCAAAAGGTTGAAGAACATGTGAAGGATTGAATAGAAGAACTTCATCTTAGACGTTTGTGCATTTAAGGTTAGCTTACCCGCTAACTTTAATTTGGAACAGAGGAAGTGGATACAGGTCGATTTTTTCTTGCAATTAATTTTCGAGGCTGACATGTGAACAGCAGAAGCTTCTGCTATGCATGCGTTGGAGTGAAACATCACCAGCGTTTCAAACTTTGCCTGCAGTGAAACGACTTAGCGCTTATCACAAAATTCTTACAAGTACTACTTTTTATTGATTAAATTATCAATGGCAATAATATACTAGGACTACTGTAGAGAATAAAACCCCAAAATATTCTGTTTGAAATCCTTGAATAAATCACGAAATAATGGCGAACTTGGACATCATACCTCTTGGAGACTGGTACAAAGGACACCTCGCATGGACGCTATCATAACATCAAACGTCGCGGTCATTCTCTTGAGCAGGCCTCGTTGAAATTGCTCAGAAACGGAGAATGTCGGACGGTGGATCTTCACCAAACCAGCAGACCGCATGACCACAACGAGCTCTTCCTCTTCGCTGTCTTCACTCTTGTTAGCCGTCAAGAGAATAGCACCCGTTTGCTCTTTGCGGACGCACTGGTCTGGACTGTACGGATACAACTCGTCTACGTCGACGCTGTCCCTCACGAGAACTGCAAACGGTTCCCTAGTATCCGACTGCTCGGCATCGACGTATTGCGCAAAGGACGCGAGGTTCAGCTCAGTCTGGACGCCGTCCTCATCAGCAGCAGACAAGCGACAGTTGCAGAAGTGGTCCCCGACTGTGTCGTAGTCGTCACGCACCGTGATGCACCCCAGTCTCTCGGAGATGGAAATCTCCTCGTTAAAAAAATGGAACATGGCTGCTTCATACACTTCTCGCACAGAGTTGACTCCTCTAAACTGCGTCACATTGAAAAGCGAGGAGCACAAATTCCCCTGCGCATCTACAAACTCCTCGTACGTACTGTACGGCTGAAGTAGATCCAGATGACAGCTTTTGGCCTTCAAATAGTCCACTCCGTTCTGAATTTTGTGCTCTTGGATAGCAGCGAGTGTTTGGCGACGCGACTCATGATCAACTCCAAGGTGGATGAAAGAGTAGAGCGGATTAGGCGACGCTCGCTTGAAATTACAGTAAACGCGGTAGAATAATTAAAGAGTGACTTGCTACCACAGCATATTAAAAGCGAATCGTACCCCAGATCGGCTCGTGCGGTGACGACAAGCAGGTGCTGCCGACGCAGAACATTGCTCAGCACCGCGTTGCTGGTCGCCACTTTATCAAGACTCTGGCCTCCCATAAGTCCCACTCGATCTTTCAATGCTGCCAGCTGAGCTTCCAGTTCTTCCACCTCTCGACTCAATCTCGCCTTCTTCTCCTTGTTGATGAGATATGTTGCCTTACGCTTCTTCACTGGACGCTCGTTCCCCGAGTCGTCCTCGTCCATGCTCACAGTCGAGAGCACGTTATGTTGCTTTTCATTTTCCTTGATCACACCCCGCATCTTTCCTGAATGGAGACTTGCGTTCTAGGCCGCGATATTAATTATGGCTTGAGCTGTACCCATTGGGGTTTTTATTTACAATCATTCCTGATGAGCACGGTGGATTCTAAAAATAGCCAGCATATTAAAAGCTACCGGACGGAAGACAAAGGCGCGGAACAGCTCTAGCTTTTTCCAGCAGAAGTTATGACTACTCTATGTAAACGGATGCGCTCTTTAATTTAATACAGCTCCATAGCAACCGAGTAATACAGTGAGTGCTATAATCCTATCTTGTGGGTAGTGGGTGGACGATCAATGATAGAGTTTCGCTATTTCAGACGTTGTGAAACAAACCTTAGATTACGCACCCCTTTTGATATTACACGTACGTAATGTAAAAAACGGGCGTATTGTTTGGTGGTGTAACAAAAAATACAGTTGTTTGAACGGAGAAACAAATTCCTGTACCTAATTTAAGTATGCCCTAAATTCCTGCAAAAACGATGTAAAATCTGCTATCTAGAGGAAGAGGGACCAACACCTGACGGTTCTTCGCTTTGAAGGTATTCGTCCTTTTGGCTCTTTTTTTCGATTTACTTTTTGATTTTGTGAGCACGCAACGATGGCAAGTTTAACCATGTTTAAACAGCCAGAGACCTACCGTCTTACCCCGCACTAGACGCCTAAGCTCTCAATTTAAATAGAGAGCCCCATGGGCGTTTTAGGGCCTGTTCCACAAAATCTCTAAAAGTGAACAGCGGGTTTGCTTTTCCTCCAGAATGAAACCTTCCGCTGTTTTGGAAAACCCACTGGAACCGCATGCGGAACACCCGGATTCTAGTTCATTTTTTTGCAGCGTGAAGACACTCTTAAAAGTGATATGAAAAGCAATAAAAGAAAGTAAAGTTTATTTGAAAAAGAGATGAGAAATAGTTTGAAAACAAGTCCTTTGATCAACCGCTGCTCTAACATGTACTGTATCGGTGACTTTTGTTGTATTGAGTACTGCTAGTAAGTCCCTGCGCATAAGCAATGATCCTCATTGAATCGCTCATTTTTTTACCAGCGCTCTTCTGTCAATTAGGTGAGGGTCCAATGACGGACACGTTGTCTCTGCTTTGAAGGCGGGATAACCGACGTGTTTCAAGTAATTCCATCACTTAATTGCCATCATCAGTATTATGCTCGTGTTCTGAAATGCACCGACTCCCGTCTCGTTGCTCGAGATAGTCATGGTGTAGATTTAGCTTTAAGAGAGCGCCGAGCACAGCACAATGTGCTAATAATTTACGTGGCTACTAATGCAGGATCTAATATAAAGCAGCCTAGAGGGCTGCACTGCCCCAACATGATTTCTTGAGTCGCAGTCGCTATGCGCGAGTGCCGCCATACTCTACGTGGCCACGCTCGAGACGTCCGACGTCGGGTATGTGGCATACTCGTTTGGTGGTGCCGTTATTACGATCGTTGTGCTCGGAGTGGCCCACCGCAACGGCATGCGCTCCATGAACCCAATCACCACTGGCGATGTTGCAGATCGCGCTGAGTGCATTCACTTCCTGTTCGCCGTCCTTGGTGGCATCACACGCTGCCACGGCGGCAGTGTGTGCATGTTTCTGACGTCGGGCATCCTCCGACCTGTTCAGTCTCCAAACACCGGTCTTGTCCGCCTATATTTTTTTATTAATATATTTGATACAGAAAGGGGTTATCTGTTCGCCCGCTAAAAATATCCTCTATCTGCGCGGATAGAGGTTAAAGGAATTCGCCTCAATTACCTCTAGAATCAGCATTCGGAACACGGAGCGTTTTGAGTGATCCGCTGGATGGTAAATTTCCGCTGGATTGGTTCCAATCCGCTGGAATTTGTACCTGCGGAACATGGCCTTATTTATGTATACCGGTACAGCGTTGGCGTTCAAATGCAGAGTGTCGCTAAGAACTAGAAGAACGGCGAGGTGGTTAACTATCTCTACACATGCGAACCATCCACCTTCAAGGTGTAGTAAGGTCCGATACAAGCAATGGAGATCGATTGTGTTGCGCATAGGTGTACGTGGAGATGACTCTACAGTCGTAGTTGAGCTTAATCACCTCAATATCACAGCAGTGCATTCGCGATGCAGCGAACAGCTCCAGATCATCGGCGGACAACTCCCCGCTCTTTAGCGAGGATATGTACGCCTCACCAAACAATCCAGCCAGTTCCTCCAAGTCTGCATATAGTCCGCCAGGGCTGATTCGTTCTCGGTGTACGATGCACCGAGACTGTGTCAAAGACAGCAAAAAAGACTGGACTGCATATCACTTGGTAGATACCATTCTGCTGGAGAGATGCACAACTCCTCACGTTCATCATTTCCGTTGAAAACGTGCTGGTACCGCTGGTGCCACTCCTGCATGCTAACCGTCGAGCTGAGAAGGTCTCGAAGAGGAGGGTGCAACTTGTCCACACTAAGATCTATCTTCGGGGCGAGCCGCAGAGCTGAAATGCTTTCGTGAGTTCTCCTTCATTTAGTTCATGTCTAATCAAGCACCCATTGTGCAACCTTCCCGTAGTGCGGAACCTTGGGGTTGCCAGCCTTCGCCTGAAGTTTTTTGTCTTGTAGTGCTTGTCCTGTATAGTCGTTGTACCTGGTCCAATATAAGGATTGGAAGCTCCTATTAACCCCTTGAGACCCGAGCTGTTTCGGCGCAAACTTAACCGAATCCCTAGTCTCTCAAACGTGTATGTGGGGGGAAGGGCTTCCATATAAATTCCTTCATGTTTTGCTAACATGTATAGTGCATAGCCGCACTAAAAACCTAAACCTGGAAGACTGTCTCTCCTGTTATCTTGTACCTTCATCTTGTCGAAGGCCCGAAAACGAGCGATATACACTTTAGTCATATTAGCGTGTATAGTAGACTACAAAACCGGTACCTGCATTTGAACAGGAACTGGTAAGGCGGACATAGGTTGAACAAGCTTGGTACATAACTAAACCAATGTAACATATGCAGTCAAGTTCAATATCGTAATATTGAGGGCATACAAAACCTAAGTAAAAAATTACGATCGACGCCTTTGATCAGTCAGTCATCTCAGCATCCGGAGCGCGGCGAGCCCGCTTTGGCTGATGCAAGCCGCTCGTCGTGGTTTCATCTCCGGACGACTGGACACTCTCAGCCTCATCATTTTCCTCGTTCGAGCATTCGCGACGTCCCGGTGTACGTGCGCGGATTGTGCGCTTCACTGCCTTCTTGGGGAGCAGCGTTCCGTTTCTCCAGGCCTTGTGCCAGATGTCGAAGCAAGACATTGCAGCTCCGTTGTACGTGTGACGAACCTTCTCACAGAGGAAAACCCGCCAAGCCATGGGTCTCTTCGACGTGTTGGGCAGCTTACACTCGCTACAGTATACCGACGAATCTCCACCTTTCGCGTTGTCGGTGCCCTTCAAGAGCGAGCAGACCTTGCACGCTCTCGTACGGCGCTTCCGCCCTTGCTGGTTGTTGCCACTGCGTCACTCGTCATTTTGCACAGGTTGGTGTGCGGCTTGGCGAGAATTTGTGCGCTGCATCGGTTTGGTTGGTGTCACTTGTAAGCACGCGTTGTCGTGCAAAGTCACCCAGTCCTCCTCGCGTAGCTGACACAACTCTAGATGTAGTTGCTTCAAAAACTTTACGTGAGTCAGCTTCGGGTTGTTTGCCTTAGTCTGTCTGGCGTTGTAGACAATGAAGGCATTGATAATGGCAAAATCAACGAGTCCGAGAAATAGAGACTTATAGTATTTCTTGTACTTGATACATAGCTGCAGCGAGTATCTACAACATGTATCATACACGATTAGATATATCCATAACTTGGATGTACAATATTGATGCACTTTACCTTTGCAGACGCAGCTGGTCGTGCACGTCGACACCTTCCATGTACGTCTGGTACTCCTTCACAATACGGGGGCAGGCCACTTCTTGTTGTTCACCCGTCAGCTTCTCACGGCGTACTATTCGGTCAATCGCAACACTTCCACCTGTGCTTAGCATGTGCACCGATCGTGTATCCCACCAACGCACAACTTTCATGTCAGGAACTTGGAGTGCTTTGGCCACTGAGTACGTGCCTCTCTCAATATTTGATGGTCGGTTCTTCGGTATCTGAGGCGGCTTCTTTTTGTCACCCTTCTGCTTTTTTGGTATCAACTTAGTGCTGAGCCCCAAGCGGTCGGTACGCACAGTGCCGATAGAGTAGAAACCCATGGTAAGCAGCTGAACCGAGAGCGGCACTGCCGTGTAGAACCGGTCTGTCACAACGAGGCGCATGGAACCGTCTGCAGGAGCCGTGGGGCCAAATACCGCGCGGAGGTTGCGCACGACGGCTGCAGGGCCGGACTTGTAGTCAGTAGAACTTGTTCCTCCAGCCCTCTCCTTTTTGCCACAATAAACTTCAAACCTGTATCGTACATCATAGTAAAAATATTAGTTTGTACCGTACATGATAAGCCAACTTAGCAACCAAAAAAAAAAGTGACGTGCCAAAGAGCACGTCCTACATACCGGATGCAATATGCAGTCGTTGAACAACACAGCATGAATAGTTTCGTTCCCCATTTGTGTGGCTTATCCTTCATATGCACTCTCATCCGGTTGAACGTTGATCTCGAAGGCAACATTGCCTCATCGAAGGCCATGATTGATGGAGGCGTGTATCCTGCTGCGAAGCGGTTCTGCAGAGCGTCAATAACCGGTCGTAGTTTCCACGCCCTATCTGTTGCAGCGCGTTCGTCCCCGTTTCGGCTAAAATGAAGGTTCCTCGAGAGATGCATGAAGCGATTTCGAGCCATGAAAAAACCAAAACACCCTCGTGGAATTGCCCCCTCGTCCGTAGTTCTCCAGTGATGCGCCAATTTCTCCCAATTGATCTTGCAATCAATAAACCCAAAAATACACAAAGCTCTCGGGGCGTAATGTCCACGGAACTC